GTAGATCAATGCTTGGGTCCCACGCCATACAAAGAAGCCCAACTGGGCAGTAGTTTGGAAGCCTATTGAGCACTTGATGCATATTGGGCCTAAAGTCCATTTCGAACTGGGCTGATTTGATCAGTCACTTAAAGGGGCGGATCTGAGGATTGGGTCAAACCAAAAGGATTGGGTCTTAACCTTATCCACTCATGGAGACCAAATTCAATTTAGGATTTGAATCTGGTAACCTCCTGATAAGATCAGGAGTGGGCTGATCTAATCTGTAGATAGGATTAAGAAGACTCCTTATCCAAATACAGATTTGGATTAGGATAACTCCTAATGAGATTAAGAAGTTTCTTAATCACTAAGTAAGGAGGAGAAAACCCTAATTTCGAATTACAAGAATTCGAACCGTAAGGGTAATTCGCAGAACACACTGCACCTTGAGATAGGATCTTAGAGAAAACCCTAGAGAGAAGAAAGCTATTCGCCACCTTCTGCTCTAGTTCTCTCCTCCAGTTTCAGCCGTCATCTACTGCTAGTTCATTTTTCTCTGTAAGGGAAAGATCAAGAAAGGTTCTTGATATCAATCTTTGTTGAAAGGTTGATCGTGTGTGGTGCTCACTGCTTCCATCGAGTTCTTCAGAAGGACCTGGTTCGTGGGACGAACACTGCTGGTTCTGCTTCATTATCACTGTGTCATCTTCAGTGGGAGCAGTTTTTGGTAGTTTCTTTGGGCATGAACACCGACGTTGGGAGATATTGTTTCCCCGGATTAGGTATATCCCTTCCCTTCTCTTTTGGTTCAGATCTGGTTCGGTTTTGGTTCAAATTAGATCCTTGAATATGGTATTCTAAATTTAGGGAATATGATTCCCAGTTGGAAGAAAGGTAAGAAATTTTTGAAATTCGCCCACCCATTCCGCACCCTTTTGGCATCCATATGATGGATCTTACCATTCTTTCATTCAGCTAGTTTGTGGTGTCAGAGATAGAGCAAAAGTCCCTTTCAAAATGGAAAATTTTTGGTTTGAGGATGCCACTCTTGTTCCTTTGTTGAAGTCTATGTGGGATGATCTGCAGGTATTGGGTACCAGTTCTTTCATTCTGGCAAAAAAATTGGGGGCCATTAAAGCAAGATTAAAGATTTGGAAATTGGAGAAAAATATGAGTTTAGATATTGAAAAGAAAGCTCTCCTGAGTACCATAAAGGAAATTGATTCAGCAGAAGAGTTGGGTCCTATTTCTGAGGAGCATAGACTTAAAAGATCTCAAGCAAAGCTGAAGTTTGATAAATTGGCAGTATCGGAAGAAATTAAATGGAGTCAAAGAGCTAAAGTGGCTTGGCTGAAAGAGGGGGATAGGAATACACACTTTTTTCACAAAATGGCAAATGCAAGAGATAGAGCCTTTGTAATAAACAGGTTGGAGGGAGAGGGTAGGGTGGGTGTCTCTGAGGCAGATATGAAGTTAGTGGCAATCGGCTTTTATAAAAAGTTGTATAAGGAGTCTTGGTTCTTCAGACCTTTTCCTATGTCCCTTCCTTTTAATCAGTTGAGTGATGTGCAGTCATCTCTTATTGAAAGATCCTTCATGGAGGAGGAAATAAAAGCAGCAATCAAGTTGTTGGCTGATGAGAAGTCTCTAGGGCCTGATGGTCTTACAAACCTTTTCTATATTAAATGTTGGGATGTGGTGAGACAGGATATTCTGAATTTTTTCCAGGACTTCTATGAGAGTGGCTCCTTGCAGAGGAGTTTGAATACTACCTTATAACCCTCATTCCAAAGTTTGAAGGTGCAGTGAACATTAAGGATTTCAGGCCAATTAGTCTTCTGCATAGCTTCTACAAAATCTTAGCTAAAGTTCTTGCTGGGAGAATGAAAGGGATTCTAGGTAGTGTCATCTCAAATAACCAAAGTGCCTTTGTGCCGGGTAGACAGATGCTGGAGCTCTTACATTCCAGAAAAAAAGAAGGTTCCCCAGGGCTGATTTGTAAACTTGATCTTGAAAAGGCCTATGATCATGTCAATTGGAGATGTGTTGATCTTGTGTTACAGCAGATGAATTTTGGGCAGAAATGGAGGAACTGGGTAAAAGTTTGTATCACCTCTCCAAAGTTCTCAGTTTTGGTTAGTGGACAGTCTGCAAGCTTCTTTGATAGTTCCAGGGGTCTTAGACTAGGTGATCCCCTTTCTCCTCTACTCTTTATATGTGTAATGGAAATCCTCACTTTATTCTGTAAAAAGGCTATTGTTTCCAGTGAGTGGGAAGGTTTTGCAGTTGCTCCGGGGGGAGAGAAGGTGAATATTCTCCAATTTGCAGATGATACATTATGCTTTGTGGATGCCTCCGCCTCACAGGTGGAGTTAATCCTTGGGATCTTATCTTGGTTTGAAGTGATTTCTGGTCTAAAAGTCAATTGGAACAAGTCAATTTATCCCAGTGGGTCAGGTTTCCAACTTAGCAGATTGTGCTGGAATCTTGGCTTGTCAGATTGAGTCCCTTCCAGTCAAATATTTGGGGCTCCCTTTGGGGGTGAGTGGTGGTTCTTCTGCAATTTGGGATTTGGTAATTGAGAGAATGGAAAGAAAGCTGGCCTCTTGGAAGGCAAAATACCTTTCTTTTGGGGGTAGGGTGGCTCTGATTAAGAGTACTCTCTCCAATTTACCCACCTATTTCCTGTCTCTCTTCTCTATTCCAAACAATGTTGCAAATCAGCTTGAAAAGCTTCGAAGGAGTTTTCTTTGGAGAGGTTGGGAGGAGGAGAGAAAAGTGCATTTGGTGAGTTGGGAGCAAGTCTGCCTCCCCAAAGATGAAGGGGGGTTAGGCATAAGGAAGTTGAAATCTTTTAATTCTGCTCTCATCTGCAAGTGATTTGGAGATTTGCAGCAGAAAATGATGCCTGGTGGAGATCTCTCATTGCTAACAAATATGGTGTGGAATGGGGTAATTGGAGAACGAGGGACCCTCCTCCCAATTGGGGTAACTCTTTGTGGAGAGGGATAATGAAGAGCTTTTCAGCTCTGGTTGTTGGGGTCTCAATTAAAGTTGGCAATGGTATTAGGACCAAATTCTGGAAGGACTCTTGGTGCTCAGATGAACCCCTTGCTGATTCCTTTCCTCTCCTCTTCCAGTGTGCTTCGAATCAAGAGGCTTCAGTTGCAGAGTGCTATAGCGCATCTGGTGGTTCAGTTCTTTGGTCCCCTTCATTTAGAAGGAACCTTTTTGATTGGGAGGTGGATGAGGTTTTGAATCTGTTGACCTGTCTTCAGAATCATGAGCTGGATTACAGTTCAGAGGATAAGTGGCAGTGGAAGTGGAACTCAAATTGTGTGTTCTCTGTCAAGTCTCTGGCTTCTAACCTTTGTAGTAGGGGTGTTCCTGATTTCCCTGGCCGTCAAGTGTGGAATCCCACCAGCCCAACTAAATCTAATTTCCTAGTTTGGACTATGGCTCTTAATAAATGTCTTACTAGAGCTAACCTTGTGAGAAGGGGCATTCAGATTTTGGACCTGTCATGCAGTCTGTGTGGGAGTAGTGCTGAATCCACTGACCATTTGTGCATCCACTGCCCGTTTTCTTCTCAGCTCCAGGAACTTAAGTTGGGTTATGCCGAGGTCGGTTAAGGAGCTGTTGTGTTGCTGGAAGCTCATGGGTTTGAGCAAGAAAAAGAAGACTGTTTGGAAGATGATTCCAATTGCTGTGTTTTGGTCCATCTGGTCTGAGAGGAATAGAAGGATATTCTGTAACAAGGCTTTTAAGTCCGGAAGAGCTAATTCAGAAAACAGTGGGCAAACTGATGTCTTGGGTGTCTGTGTCTGAGGATTTCAGAAATTGTAATGTGTCAGCTGTTTTTCTTTCTAGTTCCTGGTGGAATGTGTAATTGCTGATTTGATCAGTTGGCCTTTTCTGGGATTGATCTCAGCCTCCATTTTGTATTTCTTATCTCAATAAATATTACTTTACCTTTTCCAAAAAAAAAATGTCCATGTCCAGTCCGCCCCTTTTGAGATCGAGATGGCTGGGGCCAACATTAAGTAATGGCTTTTTTTTTTTTATTGTACTATAATGATTGACAGATTAGAAATAAGCAGAACTCATGCCTGAGAGTATAACCAAGAGCAAATTCAATTTTATTTCATTTGATCCCCCTTAAAAAGTGGCCATTACAAAATTCCTAAATGTTTTTGAAAGGAAAACAAAAATACTAGAACACGTGGAGCCAACTAAAGCATGACATTGCTCCCAAGTCACAATAATTTAACTTGTGAATGTACAGACTCACTTGTACAGTGAACAGAAACAAATAATTAAAAATGGAAGGTTATACATGGGAAATTGACGATCCACTTGACACACCCACCTTGCAGGGTAAAAGTCATAATGCAATTCTTTGTAATCTTGTTTCTTCATTGTCGAGAAAGCTCTGGACTTCCTCCTGTAGGGATAAATTTTATCTAGCCCTGAAAACATGGACCTGCATCATATTGCAGTTATTCCTTTACTATAACATTGTTGATATTTGATAATGTAGCTTTTCTGCAGGTGTCTCCTACTTATTCAAGGGAGGTTTCAGGAAATCCAGCAATTGCTTCTCATCTTCAGAAGTTCTATGGTATTCTGAATGGAATTGATCCAGATATCTGGGATCCATACAATGACAAATTTATTCCCGTAAGTAGCTTACAACTTGTTTTTCATAGTGATTCGAACAAAGTATACTTTTGATAAAAATCGACTGGACCCTCGTATTGGGCATATCGTATTGTATTGGAAGATCTCTGATACCCCAAATAAGGGGTGCTTTGGATTTTGGGGTGTTTCAAGGGGTAGACATGAAACAGATTCCCTGAAGCATTTTTGAAAAAAAAAACAAAAAAAAAATTATTGAGCATCGAAACACCCAATACGTCTGTTCATGCGTATTGGGTGTATCGATACTTTAAACCTTGATTGTAACAAAGTTACATGATGTCTATCATTCCAGGTATCTTACACTTCAGACAATGTTGTGGAAGGAAAAAGGGCTGCAAAGGAAGCCTTACAACAAAAACTTGGTTTGAAGAGGGCTGATCTCCCTATGGTTGGAATCATTACTCGCTTAACTCATCAGAAAGGAATTCACCTTATCAAGCATGCCATTTGGCGCACACTTGAACGAAATGGGCAGGTTTTTTTCTCTCTCTGCTTCACCAGCATATTTAGAGAAATTTCCTTTATTGAACAAGATAAATGGTTTGGTTCATTCATGTTGTACTTCACAGATGACCTCACTGTGCATTGATACTGACTATTTGCTTTGCATATCTCCTCATGGATTCACTGAAAACTGTGACAACTTTATTAAGCTGTTTGACCTAGTTAGTTGATTTTACCAATCACAGTTATCTTTGTCCCATGACTGAAAGTTTAAGCTATGACCAGTTTAGTGAACTATGCCTGGAATGAGTAACTTAGTATTGCAGATAGGGAAATGTATGAGTGCAGGATATGCATGGTTGGGTGGTAACAACTTTAGCCTGTATAGAAGCAAATACATGGTTCATAATTGTCTTAATTCTTCTATAGGTGGTGGGTGCTTTAAGATGTGAGTTCACAATTGATTTGTGTGTGGATTCAAAATAATGTTGATGGCAGGTTGTATTGCTAGGTTCAGCTCCAGACCCTCGTATACAAAATGATTTTGTTAACTTGGCAAATCAATTGCACTCATCACATGGTGATCGTGCACGACTTTGTCTGACCTATGATGAACCTCTATCACATTTGGTATGCTCTCAATTTTGAACTTGAATCATTCCAAGTTTGCATATGTACATGTGACTTCTGTTTCTATGGTATGTTATTAATCCATGTGAATTCTTATAGATATATGCAGGTTCAGATTTCATTCTAGTTCCATCAATTTTTGAGCCATGTGGCCTAACCCAGCTTACAGCAATGAGATATGGTTCAATACCTGTTGTTCGCAAAACTGGAGGTATGTTGATTACTTCCTTTCTTTTTCTTAAACTTTTCCTGATGCTTCAGTCTTTTTAAGGAGAATGTTTTCTTGTGATAGTGATTTGTCATTTGAATATGAAAGTGATCTCCTAGTTGTGGGTTCGGACATAAACCCAAGGAACTATGGTGTTTACACAGTTGAATGGTTTGCAAAACTTAAGGGTTTATTTATGGGGTTTGAGTTATTTTATTTTATTTGTTTGTTCTTTTTGTATACTCCTATTGAGTTATGCTCTTTCAAGGTAATTGTCATGAGTCCCTTGGTTCTGCGTCTTGTTTGCCTTGAAACAAGCTTCTCAACTATAAGCTTAGGGATTTTTTTTTTCTTGGGGGGGGGGGGTGTTGGGGCTGAATGTGAGTTGCAATAACAATTATAGAATTGCATGATTAAAGAAATATACTGTTAGATTTTTTTTTGACAATTAAAATTAACTGGGATCATAAAAGTGGTATTCATAAAAAATCACAGGAGGTTTTGATTGGTCAAAGCTCTTCAACTATTGTGTTTTTCTGGCTTTATAGATTTATCCTCTTTTTAAATATAAAATCAAGTTATCCATGGGTTGCTCTAATTTTTTTTTTTTTTGATGAATAATGGGTTTCTCTAAATTTTCTGGTATGTATTGACATTTGACACAGAAGTAAAGTGCATTAGCATTCATGCTTACATTTTTTTTTCCTTGTAGGACTTCATGATACTGTATTTGATGTCGACCATGATAAAGAGAGAGCCCGAGCGTTTGGTCTTGAGCCAAATGGATTCAATTTTGATGGAGCTGATACTGCTGGTGTTGATTATGCTCTCAATAGGTGAGTAGACATGATTTTGATTTATTCTTTTTTCTTTATTAAGTGGGTGAATAGATGTATATATGCAATAAATTTTCTTGATTAGTTATTCCATTTGTTGTATTGATGCTGTTATGAGATCAGGAAGAATCAAGTGTCAAATGAATCAACTGTTAGGATAAATCGCTCTCATAAGTGGTGCATGGTGGGCATACTCAAGAGTAGCTCTTCAATATATCTTTGTTCTTTCCTTTGATCTCACTTGGAATGCCAGAAAGACATGAGGGACAAATAAATTAAAAACAAAAAAAAGGTAAGGCTGAAGAAAATAAATGCAGAAAACTAAACACAAAACCGCCTAATTGAGTTAAATATTGGGCAATCTATCTGGTAATGGATATGCCACTAATAGAATGGAAAAGCAGTATAGGATTCATGCAGGTGACTCCATATGGTTGGGACAAGGCTATTAGACGATGATGCTAATGATTAGGCAATTTGTTCCTTGTTAGCCAACCAAACAATTTTTATGATGCCAAAGGGAACTGGATTTATGGCCATAGGAGATTTTATTTTGATCTTTTCTTTTGTAATTCCTTCTTTTTTTTGCCAAAGCCTTCATCTTTGTAACTTGATTTGTCAGAGCTATCTCTGCCTGGTATGATGGACGTGATTGGTTCAACTTCCTATGTAAGGGGGTAATGGAGCAAGATTGGTCTTGGAACCGGCCAGCATTGGACTATATGGAACTCTACCGTGCAGCCCGGAAGTAAGGCAGGAGAAAATTGGTCAGATGAATGAGAAAGAAAGAGATCCCATACAAGGATTGTTAGAGATCCCATACCACAATTATTTGTACAGGCTTACGAATAAATTTTCATTTCCTTTTATTTATCTTAGCCAAACAATGGCAGGTAATTTTATAGTTTGTGTTATTTATGACATCTTTGGTGTTAAAGATTTGAAATAGCTCATCCATTTTATGTGAAAGCAATTTTGAACCCCACGATCCTTTAGATAAAAGTAGTATTTCTCTTGATTCTTTTACAATCTTATGTTATACAGTTGTATGGGGATTCTGAGACTTTTCTCTTTACTTTTATTTGGTAATATTGTTGGTAGTATTGAGGTTGACACATTGGATGGATATTAACATTCTCAACTTGTCTATTGGTTGGATTGAGCATGGCCATAGTTTGGAACTTCAAATCAAGAGAGAGATTTTATTTGAGTGGTTCAGTCATAACCTACACCAGTTGAATTATGACAATTAATCAGTACAACTGCATTAGTTGAACTGGCTATTTTTCCAAAACAATGCTAATTGATTTCTTTTTTTTTTCAGTTGTTTAATGGATCCCCTCGTACTTGTTTTCTCAACATTATGTTTTATTATTCTATAGAATGTTTTTGCTGGACTTGGTAATTAAGGAATTCAGATTGTAGTTATTTGGCATTTACTAAACTATTTCCAGTGGGATTTAATTATGTTAGTTGGACATGGGAGTAATCAGATTGGATAAACTTATTGGAATTCAAGTAATAATCTATTAGGATTTGTTCAATTTGGAATTAATTATTTCCCAACTTTCAAAGAATGCACTGGTAAATGAAAGTAAATACAATATTATATTAATACTTAAGAGCAATAAATGTACTCGAGGCCATGATTTTGTCAACTGTCATAGTTTGAACAGTTCTTAACTGGTCAGAGGGTTATGGGAAGAACTCAAACAAGGGATCGAATGGCAATTTCTTTAAAGGTGGCTTATTGTTCAGATGATGGTGATGGTTTTGATAATGATGTAGACTAGACTATCATGAGAAAGATTTCAGTTTGTTTATAAGTCAAGGACTTCCATTAGGGAATTGAAGGGGTTTGTTACCACTACTACTACGTTGTAGACTACATCAGCCTAGTGGGCTTATAAAAAAGCACAAAATGGCCCACATTTAAGCGTTTTAAAGTGACAAACCTAACGGAAAATATTCTTGTAACCAATTTCCAACTAAATGATATAAAGATGGTCCTATTAATAAAACAGTTATCCAATGTAATATGTTGTTCCCGTCTTCTAAAAGTTGACAATTGAAGGGTAGTTTTAACTGATATTAACATCAGAATGGTCATTTTGATATATAAAAAATAAACGAGAGTTTTGAGAGTTGCACATTATGCTTGGATTGGTATCGAACATTTATTTAAAATGCAGACAAAAGACAAGAAGAGCATTCATAGCTTTTTGTCTTGGAAGCTTGGAAGGTAAGTGCTGGGTGCTAAGTTCTTATGCGCTAAAACACAACACACGTATACATTTATTTATCCTTCAGTGTTGAAGGACCGCAGCGTACTGTAGTGATGGGCTGATGATGTTAATTGTTGGATCAAACCTGGTTGGATATACCCATTAACCATGATCCTAACCTGACTCGAAACAACCATACAATTTGAGTGAGCCTAACAGAGCGGAGAAGGGCATAGAAGACTAGAAGAGGTGCGAGAGATCAAAGAAAACAGGGAAATTGAAAAGGTAAGCGAGAATATTAGAAAGAGGACAGGCTGAGTATAGTGGGGAGTGGGCTACCACTTACCACTTCAGTTTGAAGTGCTGAACTATAAAATTAATAAGAGAGTTTATAAAAATGCCATGATCAACCTAACCAATTGTGAAGGGGCGTGCCACATTTGAGGAATTAATAGATAAAATTGTTCTCTAATTTGGTTACTTATTAGACAAGCAGCTGTGCATTTGACGAGAGAGGTTTTGGTAAAATTCAGATTTCAGAGGGGAAGTGGGAAACAAACTGTTCATTTGATTGACAAAACAAGAGGAGGTTGGTGGGTTCTGAATGTTGATCTCAGATGGGTGTATGTGTATGACGACTGACGAGAGAGGTTTTGGTAAAATTCTGATTTCGGAGCAGAGTGGAGGGAATGATTCCGTGACATTGCTATCTTTTTTTCTTTAGTGGCGATTCTTTCCCATTTCAAGTTTCAACCACAAAGTATATAAAAAATGAAAGAAAGAATCTTCCACCTTAAAGTTGATCCCAATAAAACTAAAAAAATAAAAAAAGGAAAAGATTGACACAGGCAGTATCGATATGTATGTATATGCGGGTGGTTTTATATGGACCGAGCGGCTGGACCGGATCAGCCGCCTCTACCTCAATGTGTTGTGGCAGCCGAAAAAGGAATCGAAATTTCGCTGCATGCATCTAAAACTAGACTCGTAATGACGTCAGATTACTTTAACCAAATATAATCATAAAAAATGGGAGTTTAGGGGGGTATCGCGCCTCACAGATTGTACTGGTTACATATCGGGAACATCTTCTCCCGTATTTATATTTATTATTCATGGGGAGATGTTCTTAATAGAGGGTGATGTGACTGTGAAGTCGGTATAAAGCATGTTCTGTGAAGAACAGATCCCAATTCAGGTATATGTGAATGTACGTGGGGGCCCAATGGACTAAAGACTAGGTAAACCCGAGACTGGATCTGCTCCACATAGGACACCTCACATGCATTGCGAACATCTCCCGTACTTAAAAATTATTATTCACAGGAGATGTTCCCAATGCATGGTGGATGTATATGTGAAGCGCCCACGTGTTTGCCATGTCTCTCCGTCCACTCTAACCAACCATATTCGGTTGCCTAATAAAGTTTTAAGAAAAGCAATTTGCATATTCTAATTCTACATGAGAGATAACACATAAGGGCGTTCCGCTGTTAATCTATATTTTTTGGTAGAGATTAAAGACAAAAAAAAAAGGTTGAAGGGAACCAACGTTGAAGCATCTTTGAAAAGACTTGGTTGAGAGTAGACGAAGACCCGACAACAGCTGAAACCTCACCCAATTTCAGCTTCCTGGCTCCACACCCCTCCCCTCCCATCCGCCGCCTTAATAATAGGGATGTAAGTCGGGCAAGTTGGGCCAGATTTGTGGTCAATCCAGGCCCAATCTTAAAATTTGGGCTAACGCCCAAGTCTAGACCGAGTCTCAAGTCAAGTTTGACCTTTTCAACTTGAACTTAGCCCATATTATAATTTAATACATTCGGGTTGGGCTTAAGTCTGTGCCGGGTTTTGGTTCGTCAATAAACCTATTCTATATATATATATGTATGAATATATATAATTAGATTGGACTTGAATCGGATTCGAACTATTTAAGGAATAATCCTGAATTCGATCTAAAAAATAAAAAAAAATAAAACTTTTAGGCTTAAGCCCGGTCTGTACAAAATTTTGAACTGTACTGGTTCGGACTCGGGCTGGGCGTGCCGAAATTGCACCCCTACTTCTTAATAGTTGCTGTTACCTCTCTCTCTCTTTAATGCCTGGTACTGTTTTGAATGGACCCCACTCATGTCCCCAGCCCTCGAGTTTTGGCTGCATTTGCTCTCCTCCTCTGTAAAAGAAGACGAGAAGTATTCAATATATACCCTTTTCTGATAACAAACAGCGCTCTACATTTTTTCAACCTTTTCCCCCTCCTTTACGCCCAAAGACTTTAGCATTTTCTGAACTCTGAGGACGACATTATTCACTCATGCCTCTCTCCACGGAGCAGATGGTTGCGGAACAGTAAATCATAATAATTAAAAAAAGACATTTAGGTAATTTTATTTACCATTCATCCATGATCTAATGATCCATCCATCAAAAAGTAACGTGGTTTACCACTTTTGTTGCTCGTTCCAGCTGTAAAAGTGGATACCCTTTATGAATGGTTGGGTACCACTCTCACAAACACCTCTGCCCTACCGATTATTATTATCTGTATTGGAAGTATTATTTTCAGAAAATGTGGTGTCTCTTTTTGTTTGAAAATGTTGTTGTTATTCTTGGAACAACAGTTCATGTTCCATTACTGTCACCTCATATCTTTTTTGGCAACAACAAGCTACAGCTACAGGAAATGTCAAATTCGATACTGCTCTAAGATATAGTTTAGAATACCTTTTTTTATGAAAAAAATGGTTCTAAATTAACAAACAAACGTTTCCTGAAACACTGTTTTTTCTGACATAACACTCATGTATTGCCGTTTTTTAGAGTAATGGCATCGATGCCAAACAGATGCCATATCATCTATAGCCTCTACTCATCATCACTCCCAACACCAACACCTATTGTAACTTTGTAAGATTTTGTTTTCTTTTTTCATTTAGTTTTTTCTTTTCTTGTTTGATGTCTACTCCTTTAACTTAGATTGGTTATTAACCCAACACCTCTTATGGTTATTAATCCAAGAATCAAGATTAGATTGGAGCTGAGTTGGTAGGAATATGATGACATGGCAATTGATTTTTACACCTAACCCCAGTTTCCACTTCCAAATAAGCCAACGCTGTCTGTAAAGGTGGTAAGGTAGTTTCAAATTTACCATTTTCCAATTCCTAACTTAGCTTCCTTCTCCCTCTCCCTCTCCCCAGAAATAGTAGTAAAAAAGAATCATAAGGGTAGTTTTGTCATTTTGTTGAGAAGCAAGTGACAAGTGAGCAACCGAAACGAAAAAAGCCCGCAAATTCCTAGCCTTTTGTCACAGGAAAAAACCGCGTTTTCATTAATCGATCCCGTTCACACGAGAAGAGACGAGGCTCGCAGTCAGTCTCTCTCGGTCCCTTCCTCCATTTCCTATATTTATAAAAGAAGACCTGACCGCAGTTATGATCGATCCACGCTCTCTCTAACACACTCTTATTCTTTTTTCCTTCCTTTCTAATTTCTCCGGATTTTTAATTTTAATAAATTCTCACCTCCTAAACTAAAACCCTAACCATTCTGCTGTTCTTATCCTGTTCAATTCTTTTCTCCCTCCCCTGCTAATGGTCTTTCTGCTCGGTTCTTCGACGAGGAGGTAGCGGCAATCATGCCACTCCCATGGAAGAAGGCCAAGATCGGCCGGATTTCTCGTTTCGTCGCCGACCTCCGATCTTCCAAGCGCGGTGGCTCCCTCGTTGTTGAAACTGGTTTCCCGACCTCTCTCATAGATCTCATCGTCAAGAACCGAGATCGCTTGAAGAAGCCTCCAAAGAAGAAGCCTCTGGAGACTTCCGGTTCCACATGTTTGTCTTCGCCTTCTGTAAATTCCTCGAATTCCAAGTTTTCCCTAAGTCCATTAGTGGTCCCAACTCCGGAAATCAGCAGCCCTATCCAGCTTTCCCCAACGCCTGTACCTTCAGCTCTTCAAATTGAGGGCCCTAGCACTCCAATTAGCAAGGAAATCGCCCCTCCTCTTGTAGCCAATAAGGTCGAAGATGTCGCCAAGGTTCCGGTTTCGAATGGCCGAGCTTTCATGGCAGTCGTAGAACTGTTTTTCATGCTAATTCTGGCTTTGGAAACCAGAAGACTCGCAATCGGGGTAACCCTGTCAGCGTTTACCCTTTTGTTTCTCGAATTTGCGGCCGAACGCGTATTTGGTTTCTTGAAACCTTGTGCAGATGCGCGGAGAAGTTTTAAGTGTTTTGTGGAACGCGTTTTATTCTTTGTTCGGCCAGAAAAGGGGCTGGCTGGAGTCGATGAGACTGCCGTAGCTGATAAGGCGATTAGACTAAAACAAGAGGATTTAGGGAGTCGACACAGAGGAGAAGAAGAGAAGGAAGAAGAACAAGCTGCCGACAATGAGGCATTTCGTCTTGGAGTCAGCAATCCAACTTGGATCGAAGAGATTCAATATATAGACCCTGAATATGATTTGCTAAGTCGTGAGAAAAAATGGGGCTTTGAAGAGTCCAATCAGAGGAGGATTTTGGGGAAAGATGAGGGTGCTGTTCAAGGTAGAGACCTAAAAAGTAGAAGGACCAGCAGCGATAAACTGAAGGAGAAGATTTTGAAAAAGTTTATCCCAAAGAAATTTCGTGGCTCAAAGAGACCAATTGGTAAACAGCAGCAGGTATTGTCAAATTTTGGGGTATCAAATTTCGATGAAGATGAGAAGTTGCAAAGAATAGATGAATACGTTCGAAAAGAAGAAAATGAGCAAGGAGAACAAGAATATCAACTAGAGCCGGAGAAAGAAGAAATCGAAATTTATGACATTCATGGTTTTAGCTGTGTTTCGCAAGTTGACTTGGATGTTATTGTTGTTGAAAAAAATAATGGAAGAAAATTACGGAAGAGTTTGGGATATCTGATCCTCTTTGTGATTGTTCTTTGTGGATTGATAGGAGGTCGGTTTATGGCAGGTGTAGTTACCATAGTATGGTGTCTGTTGGTAAAATCAGTTGAAGCTCTAAAGAGAAAAGAATGAGAATTCCCCATGTCTTAGTACTTAAGTATGATTGATGGGTTTTTTGCTATGAGGTTCAACCTTTTGTTGGCAACCCAATTTAGAGGTAGTGGACATGGTAAATTTAAGATAGATGCAGAAAAAATTCTGTAAAATATTTTCCTTCTCTTTCTTAATGTAGTGGCAACTTTGTATGATTACCTTCGAAACAAGAAAAAAAAAGGAATACTAATTTGTATATGCATAACTTTGAGCATTTGAAGTGTTGGTATCAACCTCTATCTCTTTTCTTGTGGGTTTCATCGACACTTAATTTTTCTAAATAAACAAGGACAAACTTTGAACCAAGTGAGACACCTTCATGGATCAGATTGTCAAAATAATCCTAACATTGAAACTTTGCGACCTCTTCATTTTCTATGATAGGCAATTGATCAAGCTAACCTTTATTTTGGGGGTAATGACATGGTTCACATTTGTGGATTTTACTGTTAGTTAGGCCTCTTAAAAACACATACACATTCATTTACTATTTATCCATCACCATCAGTCATTCAGCCCTTCTAGAAGATCATTAGAAATATCTTAAAAAGGGATTCTGGCTCTAGCCAGTAGCCACTTTTTGAAAATTGTCCAGCCTAACCTGTGGATATTCCAATTCGAAAGGTTATATTAGCGAGAGATGGGTCATCTGCCATCGAAAGGTTATAGATTGTTCGTGTTAGAAATTTGTAATCGTTGATGCACACAAGACACAAATTTGGTATCTGTCAATTTATGCATCAACTCAGCTATTTTTATTCGAGAATATCATCAAATAGGCATTCTCTCCTGTTGTGGAACAGAGCAACATCCATGATCCACCCCATATAATTTCTACTCAGTTCATACTTCTTGTGCATACAATTATGATGGAAATTCTTGCGAATGCATTCCTGAACGAAGTTGCTATTTCGAAATAATTGATGCCTCTCTTTTTCTTATGTCTAGGTCCTTGTTGATTCTCATCTCAGTGGTTTGATTGTTAACTTTGTTAGTGGTTGAGTTATCATAATGCCATTTATAGTACCCGAACTTTAAAATGCGATAATCTAATACTTTACTGATTGTTACCTTGTGCTTTAGGCGTTGAGTGTCAATTTAGTATCCGAACTTTAAAAAGCGATAATCTAATACCTGAACTTTTGAAATGCTGACAATTTAGTACCTATCGTTAATGGGCTCAGTTATGTATATCACATGATCTCATGTGCCATTTAATATTTTTAAAATGTCAAAATTACCCTTAAAATAAAATACACTGTTTATTATCTTCTTTCTCATAAAAATAAAAACAGATCTCAAGCTCTCAATAGTCCAGACGAAAACCGAAGAGTCTTCTTGTGCTTGTCGCTCGCTATCCTCCGCCCGAACTGTAAACTGCCGGCACAGAATGAAGAAACGATGGCCATCAGAGACAGGCGTTAAGGTTCTGAACTGGAAGCACGTCAAGGAATTGATTGACAGAGATCTCAGTGCGAGAGAAGGTGGTGCCTTTCTGCACAGATGATGAAGGCTCGAAGAACAAAAGGTTGACTGTACAGATTAATAACCATGGTTGATTGACTGGGCTGTGATTGACTGTACAGATTGATAACAGAAGGTTGACTGTACAGATTCATAACAGAGGGTGGTGCCTTTCTGCACGATACAATACGTCATTAGTATGATTTCTGGGCTGTGATTGACTGTACAGATTGATAAGTATACCTGTAGCAAAATAATATGAACCTACCAGGAGTAAGTGGTTGTACATGATGTCAAGAGTAACCATGGTTGATTGACTCAATAAAACTGTAACATGCCCCCTTTCTCGTTTCACTCGTTTCCTTGTATTCTTTAATTTTCATGGACATCTCTCTATCACCAATTTTAGAATAGAAGCTCGATGCCTGCAACAACACCATAGGATTGTTTGGGTCGAGATCTAGCAAAGCTATTGCAGCTCTTCTTCCTACCTTCTCATTTCAAATGTACTATACAACTACGCAACAAGGAGCTCCACATTACTGAATCACCCTTAACTGGTGAGCATTTTAGCAACACTTCTGCTTCCTCTAACAAGCCTGCTCACCCCAGAAGATCAACCATGCATGAATAGTGCCTCCTGTCTGGGTAGACGACATGGATGGTTTCTATTGATTCAAATATTAATTGCCCTTCTCTCACCAAACCTGAGTGACTGCAACCCATTAACACAGACAAGAATGTTACAACATCTGGCTTCAGACCCTCCTAGATCATGGTCTCAAGCATCTTGAGGCCCTCTCTACCCATTCTATGTTGAGAATAGGCATATATCAATCAATGCGGACCCAACAAACAAGTTTGCGTTGAACCCAAACAAAACCACTCTGCAATGAACTTGAAGGCCTTCTCGGTAGAACCCAGCATCACTGTAAATACCCAAAACTGAAGAACATGTGGACGGGCTTTCTCCAAGGCCTCGAGAAACCATTTCTTTGAAGAGATCAAGGGCCAGCTCTAGAAACCCATGGTGAGCATGACCAGCTATTACCAAGTTACAGGAGACGATGTCACGGACAGGCATTGCTTCAAACATCTCAACGGCTGAATCAAGACAGTCACATTTGATCGAGTTATCGATCGTTTGATTGCAAGAGAACACACCCGCGTGATAACTTCCATCCAGCTCCAATAAAGCAGAAGAGAAAGAAGATCGGGTTGTTGTTTTTGGTATAACAACGGCGACAATCGATCAGGCAAAGCTTAATAGACTTCTTGTTTGCAATCGCATTGCTTGCAATTGCAAGCGCCTTCGGTTTTGATTTTAGCAGATAGGTTGATAAAGAAAATGAGAATATATTTTAAGGGTATTTTTGTCTTTTCACATGCCATTTAACGACTGATTAACGGCGGGTACTAAATTGTCGTGTTTTGAAAATTCGGGTACTAGATTGTCGTATTTTAAAATTAGAGTACTAAATTGACACTTGGCCTAAATTACAGGATACTTATCAGGAATTTTCCTTTTATCTTGATTTTTTTTTTCGTGGCGGTGTTATTAAGCATACATAAATAAACTTGATCAATCAGTCCAATGCACTATAAATTTATAAACAAGACGGAGATATACGGCACTGGACTGTATTAGCACAATTGACTCTTGAAATTCATTCCTACCTTTTCCTTCATTCTCTCCTCGATACTTGTACAATTTACATCTTTTTTTCTCTTCCATCCGTTCTTTCATTTCTCACCATTTTTCGTTTTCTTATTCCCCTCTTTCTCATCAATTTTAGCTGAGCACTAAGTGCCCATAACTATATTCAAATCATTCTTTTGTTTTGGTAGGGCGCTCTCAAACATAAATTTGATCAATCAACTCAATGAAATAATCTGTTCTGAAACTATAAGATTGAGGAGAGATGGAAATGTAGACTCTGGAAGCATGTACAGAGCTCCCTCTGTATACTCATTGAGTATAATAAATTCTAACTCTTCTCATCCCTCTCCCCTTTCTTGACTCCTTTCATTTTGTCTTGTGTCAGCACTTAATTTCCACGCCAATATACATAAACGTCTCCCAATTCTTATACATTGGCCTCATCTCTTAACCTTTAAAAATGCACCATATCTAATTCACATACATAAGCTTGACTGTAATGCACTTTTGTTTTTTCATTGCAAGAGTGTATCCAACTATTATTACAACTCTCAATACCTCACTACATTCCTCAACATTGAATATTCAATATAATGAAATACGTAGACAAATCAAAACCTACCGAACATGAGTCTCGAACTTGACAAAGTTCTCTTAAAACCATCTAAGACAATGTTAGGAAAGAAGAATTATTTATGCATGAGCTAAGTGGAATTTGAAAAGTTGCAGAGTCTTCTTTCATTGGTATACATGTAAATCCGTAGCATGCTCTGGAATCCGCTTTTCTTTCCTTCTACTTAATTGGTGGGTTTGGTGAAACCGTTTCCGTACCTACAAGTTGCTAACCCTTCAGTAACTTAAAGTTGAAGGGATGATTATAATTACACAATGCTACCATCATACCATGACCTACTCCAATACTCCAGAGTCCAGATTCGGCATACATGTGTGAATTATTTCATGTGCCACCACTTGTAAGAGTGTCTTTTACCCAATGTTCAGTCGTGGCTGTTGGAGTGGACTAAAGTTATAAATCTTCAACTGGTTACTGGTTGAGTTTTGGATACCTCAAAAACAAAACTTTCTACGATTCTCCCTTGTCCATTTTAACTTTTTTTTTTTCGTTTACTTTATTGCTTCTGTAAAATTTTCTATTGTCCTGTAATTTGGTCGGTCCTCCAAATTGCATCACGATAAGTGGCTTCCAAGTGATACCTTCGCGTTGAATAAGCATATCACCTTAGCAGGTCGGTTAGTAGCTCCTCGTCAGGGCCGACCTGAAGGACCCCCGAGCAAGGAGCGACCTACCTCAGGGACCGGCCGAGCTAAGAAAGATACTATCAGTGACCTACTAGGCATGTTCACTAACTTGTCATAGGGACCTGTTGCCAGATCGAGTTCTCCGGAATATTAATGAGTCGACCGTTAGGCTGACCTACCCGCATCATGCGCATTAGAGTCAATCGGACGAACCTTAGTCCTCTACGCAGATTACGTAACTGACGTCATTACTCTCCCACGACTTAACGGAAATGGCTCTACGAGAGTTAGAGACCCATTACAGGAGGTCTCAGACCACTCACACCTATATAAAGGTCTCATTTCAACTTCAAGAGGTACGCGCGACTAAGCTCTCACACTCTCTAATCTCTAAGAACTCTTCGTTGACTTAAGCATTGGAGTTCCCACCCCGGGTAAAAGCAACCCAAGCACTCTAACTCTCTCTCTCTTGTAGAATCACATAGCTCGGCTAGACTTAGCTCGGCAAATTTCAGCTCGGCCATTGACAGAGTAAGCTTCCGATTCGGCAATCGAGTCACCTACTATGTGAGAGTTGTCAGATCGCGCACCATCAATTGGCACCGTCTGTGGAAACATGTTACAAAAAGCTAAGTTCTCATCTTTAAACATTTTATACCAATATTCGTGGCTTCATCAAGCAACCAACCCTTCAACAACAACAATAACTAGGTTACTAAAGACACAAACAACTCGGGATGATCCCAAAAGTCCGTTCAGTGACTATTGGACAAATTAATGTGCCTTTGACTCTGCCAGGCGTCCCACCCACTCTGAACCCGACCTTGCCACCATCTCAGGTGAACGCGT